CAGTCTGTTAATTATCTCACACCAACATGCTTTGATTGTATCAATGAACAGTTTATTAAAGAGCTCTTATAGGACCCGAAGAAGCGGAGATGATTTATCACTGACGTGCACGTGGGAGAACAAAACCCATCCTCGTTTTGTTCTTCCTTCTTCCTCATTCTGTCCCTCCTCGTCTTCGTCTCGCCGCCACGTCGGCCCCCTCGCCGCGGACACGCCGTCACCGCGATAAGCAAGGCTCACGCCAGGGTGCCGCCGAGGTCACGTGGCGTCCCAGTCAGAGGGCTTCAGCTGGGGCAGTTTGGGGTAAAAGCCAAGAATGTGCACGGCTCTTAATGAATGAGGTGGAGCTGAAGGTCGACGCGCGGCGCTGTGAGGTGGAGCTGAAGGTCGACGCGCGGCGCTGTGAGGTGGAGCTGAAGGTCGACGCGCGGCGCTGTGAGGTGGAGCTGAAGGTGGAGCTGAAGTTTGATCCCCGGGACTGAAGAGAGGAAAGTTAAACGCGTGGGTTTGTCTCTCCGTGCTCCATGTTTTTCATGGTGCTTCCCTCACCACGCCGCTTATATCCACGGGCAGTTTAGTCGGTTTGCATCTCCTAGTGTGAAGCTCTTAATGACTTTAAATGTCTCTGAAGTGTATTTGGGAAAAGTGCTCCAATTAAATGTGTTATTATCAGTGGCGGCTGGTGGATTTTTCTTCTGGTAGTTCCAGCCAATCAGTTTCAGGAAACATCCCAGTGTGATTCAATGCAGGAAAAGGGTCTAAAAATTATTACTTTGCAGTTAAATATTTAACATTTATTGACCGATGGTCGCTCTTGTTATGTTGGTAAACGGCGCGTTGGAGACTCGTCCTGACAGAGCGCAGCGTAGGGCGCCAAAGGGCCCAAATCTCAATGAACTTTAGGACGCTGAAATCAAAATGTCACTTCATCAGTGGTTGGCTAACTCGCCGCTTTGGGACCAACCAGCTGAGACGAGCAGAAAGGACACGCAGGAAAAGCATATATGTTCCCCAGACATCTTGATTTACAAATATTACCGGGTATATAATCCACGTTTCAATAACATAAATACACAAACAGTAAAGTAAAAAGTAAAAATACAGTAAAAATACGTTTTTTTCCCATAATATGGACCAGTCGCCACTGGGTATTATTCTAATTATAAGAGAGCACTGACTTTAGGAACCACTGCTGCCTGACCGATGTAAAGAATACAGACACAGAACACATAAGACATTTTCTGCCGATTGCAGATTTGTTGGCTGATGCCAGTTTAAATCAGTTTATTTTACGTCTTGTTCTGATTAAATTGTGAGTCAGAATGCAGGAGACAGAGAAGTGAAGGTGGAGGAAAACGTTGAAGAGAATTCATATTTGTGATGTATATAATTCCTAATTTGACATATTTTAAACATATGATCAACTAACGAAATGTTGATTAGAATGAACAGTAAAGCCTCTGGTGGTTCAACACGCTCACGCTGACTTCCTGCAAACTTCCTTTAAACAAATGACAGATTGTATCCTGTAACTTGTTTGAAGGAACAAATGAAAAAACTAATTCCTGTTATCCTGCAGCGCGTATTCGGTTAGCGCTGATTTAACGCGTTTCTATGACAACACCTGAAGAAATACAACGATTCCCGTCAACCTCAGTTGTAAATCGCGCAGCACAAATTAGCATGTGTAAACATTATGGGCCTACCTGCAGTTAGCATGCTAATGTTAGCATTTAGCACACATAAAACACTTGTTACTCTGATTAGTCATTTTCATCCCCGTTAGCATCGACGCGTTTAATCGTCTGTGTCGTTTACCATCGACCGCATTGACTTTCTGCCTCTTTCTGCTGAGGGATCGATTCAAACGGCTCACACACACACACGCGCACGCACACGCACACGCACACCCACACACACACACACACACACACACACACACACACACACACACACACACACACACGTTAGCATGTGACATCCCTGTAGAAGAGTGATAAACATACATTCACACATTTACACCTCACAAATGTGTCACCTTGAAGCCGGGGGGCAATTACTGTCTCACTGAGCCGTCTCACATCTACCCCCCCCTCAACCCCCCGCAGTCCTACATTGATGCAGTAAACGTGTTTAACGATAAACGGTTCGTCCCGTTTCGTCTCCTCTTTGGTCTCTGAGCTTTTTGGCGGCAGGTCGATTGTCTTCTGTCTGGTTGCTCTTGGCGCCCCGCGTCCTCAATGTGGGGGTCAATATGGAGACCACACATTTAACCCAACATGAGATATCCAGTTTCATGACCTTCATGTTGCACGTTATGGAACCTCGTCATCTCGGACCGCCGAGTGGACCAAACGGCCCAATCGAATCTCTGCAGGAGCCCCCTGTGGGGGTGTCCTCTCAGAACCTACAAAAGAGTTCTCTGAAAGAGGGTTCTGCATGGAACCACTGCACAATCACAAGGGGGTTCTGGGAGCGGGGTAAAAAGATACCTGGAACACCTCTCAGGGCGCTTGCTCAGAGTCTCCTGGGGCTCTGTTGGCCCATCCAGCAACAGCAGTGTGTGTGTGCGTGTGTGCGTGTGTGTGGTTCTACTTTGGTCGTCCCAGGACCCCCCCCCCCACCTTCTCAGGGCGCTCGCTCAGCACAAAACACTCCACAGCTGTGATGCACAAATGGTGGAACATACTGTAGGAACAAGCCCCATCAAACAGCCCCAGTAAACCCCACGAGCCCCCGGGGGCGCCCCCCCCCCCCCCCAGTAGAGAGACGCACATCACGTAACGGAGTCTGCTCTGAATCTCAATCTGAACTCCGTTTCATCTGCTTCTTGAAGCAGGGCTCCGCCCGGAGGAACCCAGCAGGTTGCTGGAGGAAGAAGAAGAGACTTCAACGCACCTCCACGAGTCCTTTAAAGAAAACCGTCAGTTCGCTCCACAGCTGTGAAACAAGTGAAAACAAATCGAGCCTCCGAGGAGCTGCAGCCTGTTTTTAAATGTTCACCAGCACAGATGGGAGCCTTCAGTACCAGTTCACACACAACCCGAAAGCACCAGCAGAACCAGTGGGTTCAGTGGACTAAACAGAAGCCCTAAACAGAATTAACCCTGATCCATGAAGACATGTGAACCCTTTCACATCATCAAGAGCAGCCAGATGTTCCTTCTTCCCGTGGATGATGATTTGATGATGATCAGTAACAACGGCATCCTTGTTGAGTAGCAGTTTTGTTTCCTAAACCGAGCAAAGATGTTTCCTTTGAAGGCGGTAGTTTCTGTATGAGGAAACCTTCATGCATGATGGTATTTTCTGAATTGATTGAATTTTATATGAGCTTGATCTTTTAGTTGATCGTTATACGCTTTGCCGTTTTGGAGAGGTCCTCAGTGGGAATTCACTTATCTGGTAAATAAAGATAAAATGAATTAACTAACATTCGGGTGCAATATTCAAACCCGATTTTGTTTGTCGTTTATATGGCTGCACTATTCCATCATCCTGTTTATCTTATTTTTGGTTCCTTTCTGAACTTGAGGATCCCTGCTGAAGTTCAGCCCGTTGATTTAAACACGAGGCTCCTCCAACATCACGAGCCGATGTTATAATGATTTTATTCGCATGAATCCCACAGACAGAAACCATTACCAACAACCCGAAAGCCTCCTGTGCCTAAACAGAAGAACTCGACAAAACCCCACTGGAAAAAGAAAAAGAACAAAAAGTCCTCACTGACCAGACATCAGTTCCCATGGCAACCCGTTAAAACGGAAAAAGGAGAAAGTTCTTGCTTTCTTTTCTCAATGTGCTCGATGTGAGAAACGCCTGATTGCATCTGTACTGCACACGTGGGATTCATGTCAGGGCTCACACACACACACACACACACACACACACACACACACACACACACACACACACACACACACACACACACACACACACACACACACACACACACACACACACACGCGTGTATATATATATATATATATATATATATATATATATATATATATGATAGATAGAAATGCTCCAACTTCATTCTGATACAGAATGAAAAAACAACAATTTAGTGACATTAAGATATTACAACCTTGATGCTTAAGGTTAAGCAGCTTCTTTTTAATAAGTTCTACTTGTGTCCGGGTGAAAACACGGATAACTCTGAGCAACGACCCTGTCAAAGACCTGTCAATCAGTGTGTAGCCCCGCCCTAAAGCATCCCGCTTTATGGTCTGTTTGACTCCAAATGGATCGTAAGTAATTTTCTCATAGACGTGAATGGGACCAGAGGAGAAGCCCCCTGCTGGTCACTACACAGAATGCAGCATGAGAATGAATTGGCTTTTCTTTTCAAACCTGGAGGTTGCAGCTTGATGACCTTAGAACAGCCTAAATGAATGATCATCTTTGGAGATGAATACTGATGTTCCAGATTCTTTTGAACTGAAGAACACATAGAAATGTGGGTAAATTATCCTGACGTGAGGCGTTTTAATCAGTGACTTCCCCCCTGCTGTGCTCCACGTGCCCCTGCTGTTCACCGTAGAATCATCACACGCCGGAAACGAAAAGCTCCCAGCGTGCGAGATATTAATGAATCATCCGTGCTGGATTCACTCACTGCTCACGTGCTTCTTGATCTTCTATCGGAGCTGTAAAATAACCGTAGATTTCGCTGCCTGTTTAACAACTAGGAGAGAAAACATGCAACATAATCACACTACTTTGTCAACTTACGTCTGTAGATTTTACCCTAAAAACTCAAGGCCTCATTTGCATATTTTCAGAAGAATTGTAATTCAATAAATGCTTCTCTTAATGTATTGATGATGAGCCTCAGATATCAACATGAAACCTACTATCTCATTCATTAAATTGTACTTTGGGGTCAGACTTTGATGTTAGAGCCCCCCCTTGTGGTCGTGCGTTCTCATTACAAAGATCTATTTAACTACTGAGAGCAGAAGCTATTAGAAACTGATGAAGGAGAAATTGAATAAAACATTTAATTAGTCGTGTTTTATTAGACTCGACACCCCGTTTTAATTCAGCGGCATTGGAAGCTTATAAAAAAAATCATTTTATCCCACAAACACTTCAATAAATAGATCAACATTCCCCAGACATTCATCGCTGCTCATCTTCATTAGTGAAGTGAAGAAAGAAATGAAGGAAATCACATTTCGAGCTCAGCGTCACGGAGACGCCGAGACGGAAAATAAAACGCAGACGAGCTCATTTCAGGGAAATAAAACCGCATCCTGGAGGTTTGATTATTCTCCCGTAAGCTTCCTGTTCCTCATTAAGATTACCTGCATGCCTCGCCCCCCCCGCGGGGAGCGCCTCACGTGTAATCACCATTACATACGTGTGGATGCACACGTGCAAATATGGAAGCAGAGAGGATTAAATCTCTGGAAAGCGAATTCCGAGCAGAAACGCGACGAATCCCACGTTAAAAAAAACGTAATAAAAATTGGCCTTCTGGTGACGCAAAGTAAAAGCTTCAGAAGAACCACGGAGACGTTAGAAAGTGCAGCGGCAGTTTTGCTTCACATGGAACGTGAAGGAAACACCTGGAGAAGGTCCACGCGTCACTGAGGGAACCCACTTCACAGAAAGTGCGACTCCACTTAACGAATGGAGCCCTTTGACACGTTACGCGCACACGCGCACACACACACACGCACACACACACACACACGCACACACACACACACACACACTGTCTCCCCTCCCGGGCTGAGGGCGCTTTGTCGCCTCACAGGAGCTCGGCCTCGTCGTCGTCGTCCTCGGAGCCGGAGGGTCCGTGGCGAACTTCCTCGTACCACTTGTTGGTCAGAGTCTTCATCTGGATCCGTCCGTGCAGCAAGTCCTGCGAGAAGGAGACACACACACACACACACACACACACACACACACGACAAGATGAATGAAAATAGAAAAGAGACTTTTGTGTTTTTGGAGGACATAAAGTTCAATTCAGTGAATCACACTTAACTTAAACTACTTTATACAGCTTGAGTGTGTGACGGCATGCTTTTATTGTGAAGGAGTCGTAGGGAATGCGATGTGTCCGTCACTAAACGAACCAGATATGAATATTTAATGTTCAGCTACGACATGCCAGAAAAAAACTAACAAGGTGTTTTAAGCCGTGAATCAAATTCTTTAATCCAACAACTCAAAGTCGATTTCTTTGCTCCTCGGGTACCAGGAAGTTGTAACTTGAATGAACCCCACCCCCTCCCCCCGGTGCGTGCCTCACCTCCTGGGTGAGCCGGCGGGTGAAGAAGGGGTTCAGGTATTTGGCGTCCAGCCACATGAAGCCCTTCAGGTCTCGTCTCTGGAAGATATGAGCCTCGTACTCCTCCTCCGTCAGCTCCGACAGGTGCTCCGACTCAATGGTGTTACCCTGCAGAGAAAAGGGCGCAGCAGAGAGGAGGGAGGCGGGGTCAGTTGAAATGAACCGCTGGTATCCATGGCGACGGAGCGTCTCAGGCCCTCACCATTTTCTCCGTCTTGCTGAGGGTGATGTCCTTCTTGCTCTTGCGCCGCGATTGGCTCTCCTCAATGTCCATGAGGCGGATGAGCGGCATGGTCCCGCCCCCCATGAGCAGGATGGTGAAGAGGACGATGATGATGGTGGTGGTGCCGATCAGCTGGCGCTTCTCGATGGGCTCCAGGCCCAAGTGGAGGCTCAGCGCGTAGGGGATGGCGCCTCGCAGGCCTGATGGAGACGTATTTATGATGAAGCGTTTTAAACGTATAGTTTTATTAATGTGCTGACGTCCTGTCGCCTCACCACTGAACCACATGATGAACATCATCTTGGGCGTGATCTTATGGTCCCTGAAGACGTTCAGCAGGACTGTCAGTGGGAAGATGTTCACGGCTCGGCCGAGAAGCACCAGGACCTACGGAGAGGAAAACGGGTGGTGTGTGTGTGTTTGGGGGGGGGTCCAACAAGCAGTCAGAGAACACGAGCAGGAGCACTTACGATGCACCAGATGACGAAGGAGAGTTCAAACTTGTGAGGGAAGCTGAAGATGGAGAGACCAAGGAAGGCAAACACACAGGTCTCTGGAGGGGAAACAGAGGAACTTCACAGGTGATTGGACAAAACAGCTGTCAGTCAAACCTTTACCGGTGGAATCACGACATCAACCCTTGCTTTGGCTCTTTGTTGGACGAACACCCAAATTCTGATACAACAGGCGCAAACGCAGCGTCTACGCCGACCTCCTTAGGTCATTTAGAACCAACCGTCTGTCGTATCAAACCCCGCCCCTGTGTGTCGTCTCTCTCAAACCCCGCCCCTGTGTGTCGTCTCTCTCAAACCCCGCCCCTGTGTGTCGCCTCTCTCAAACCCCGCCCCTGTGTGTCGTCTCTCTCAAACCCCGCCCCTGTGTGTCGCCTCTCTCAAACCCCGCCCCTGTGTGTCGCCTCTCTCAAACCCCGCTCCTGTGTGTCGCCTCTCTCAAACCCCGCCCCTGTGTGTCGCCTCTCTCAAACCCCGCCCCTGTGTGTCGCCTCTCTCAAACCCCGCCCCTGTGTGTCGTCTCTCTCAAACCCTTGTGTGTCGTCTCTCTCAAACCCTTGTGTGTCGTCTCTCTCAAACCCTTGTGTGTCGTCTCTCTCAAACCCTTGTGTGTCCTCTCTCTCAAACCCTTGTGTGTCGTCTCTCTCAAACCCCGCCCCTGTGTGTCGCCTCTCTCAAACCCCGCCCCTGTGTGTCGCCTCTCTTAAACCCCGCCCCCGTGTGTCGTCTCTCTCAAACCCTTGTGTGTCGTCTCTCTCAAACCCTTGTGTGTCGCCTCTCTCAAACCCCGCCCCTGTGTGTCGCCTCTCTCAAACCCCGCCCCTGTGTGTCGCCTCTCTCAAAACCCCGCCCCTGTGTGTCGCCTCTCTCAAACCCCGCCCCTGTGTGTCGCCTCTCCCAAACCCCGCCTCTTTCTGTGTTGGGGCAGTAAGACGTGGCCCACTGACCACACATGAAGGCCATGGTGCGCAGCGTCTGCTGCATGAGGATCTGAGTGACCGGAGACAAGTTGTGATGCGTGTAGTGAGACATCACGATGCCCGCAAACAGGATGGACATTATTCCTGCAGGGGGAGAGAGAGCACGCCATTAAAACAATGTTACGGTAAGCTAACAATTATATGTGTGTGTGCACACCCACCAGACAGCTTGAGGCCCTCCGCCAGGCCGTAAGGAAGATACGCAAAGATAATCATCATGCCAAACTCCAGCGACGGCGTCTTCCTCAGATCAAAGTGTTTCAGAAACTAATCAGTGCGTTAAGGACATTTTATGAGATGAATGTACACAAGCGTGAGTTTGAAGCCGCCGCACACTAAATGAGTCCGGATACGAGAGCGGAGATGAGTCCGGTGAGGGTTCCCAGGGCGGCCGAACCAAAAAACATTTTGAGGAAATAAGCCAGCGCCTGGACGAACGTCTGCCAGCCGGTCGCCGAGTTGTCCGAGCGGGAAAACCCCTCCGCCGTGCTGCAGGGCAGAACAAACAAGAGGGGGGGGGGGGGGGGTTTAATACCCGTTACACCTCGTGGGCTGCGATGCCCTCATCCGACCCCAGGGGGCGACAACACTCCACCACAAACAGGCCAACTAACCAGCGTTTTCACACAGTGAAGCAAACGTGATGAACCAAGGCTGTGTGACTTAACCGGAATAGTGACCAAAAGAACACTATGTGACATTTGAGTCCTCTCAGTTCCCCGAAGGCGCAGCGCTCAACTTCCAGTCAGAACTAGTCACATAAAGGCGTAGACACAAAAACTCAATAACAGTTATTATTTATGTTTCCAGGAAAATAATGACACTAGGTATCTCTTCAAATTCTCTCTTCTTTTTACTTTAAATTATTTGGTTGCAAAAAAGGCCTTTGTTAGTTATAATGTAGACTGGTATGAAGGTGGAAAGCCTCCGCGTGCCCTTGGTTATCCCAGAGGTCATGACAGGTCACTTAAATCTGATCGACGTGGCACTCATCCAGGCAAACGTTACAATACACTATTTAGAGAGAATAACGTGCGCTAGCTGCAGTGTGGGTCACTTGTCGGTTTACACTCTTCTCACTTGAGGTGAGAGGTCGAGGGGCCATTCAGAAAATCAGTCAGCTTTTTCCACGGCAAAATAAAAGCGCGCCATACTGCGGCCCGATCCCACGCGTCGCCTCCAGCGGGGTCAAACCCCTTTTTAAATAATAGTTATCCAGCAGCAGTGGAGCTAAACAATCTGATTTGAATCCGATAAACAAGCGCCAAAGCGGCCTTAGCGGTTCACAGGAAAGCCGGCGCGTGAGGCGCCGTCGGGCCGATCCATTATTCATACTGCGGTTTGGTCGGCGCTGACACACGGGATCACACGCACCGTTTAGCTGGCGGGAAGGGGTGAGGAGACGCAGACAAAAGACGGAAGTCTGCCAGCTGTTGCTTCCTGTCAAACTCGTCCGACGAGGCGCTTAGTGTGTGTGCGTGTGCGTGCGTGTGCACGTGTGTGTGCGCTGATACCGGACAATCTTGACAAACCATTGTGAGCGCACGATACTCGGAGCGGACGCTCCCTGCGCGTGTTGTCACACCCTCTCATTCCTGATGTGACTCAGCGAAGCAGAAACTCGTTTATCAGATGATAATAAAATAATTAACGCATTGAAGAATCAAATCAACCTGCGGGTCCTTTCGCCCGACATTAACCCGACACTCCAGAGACAGAAGAATGGACGTGCAGCCCGAGCACTCCCTGCTCACCATGAAAGACAGAGGAGTAGTAATAATAATAATAATAATAATAATACAATGATATTGCTGCGCTGTTAATGCCGTGCACATGGATACGTCCCAGCTTTAAATGCTCACACTCACTTCCTGTTAGAGACACTAAGCCGTCGGGTCAAGGGGACGACTGAAGAGCTGCATCAGGAGACTCATCTTCCCCGTTGTCCTTCAAAACACCATTTCTACCCGTCTCAGCTAAATACTGGTCCTATTTGCTTCGCTCGTGGAGCCTCGCAACACACTTCTACCTGCGGACGTCTTACTTGGTGAGGACGATGGAGACGGCGTCGTTGAGGATGCTCTCGCCGAACACCAGCATGTTGAGGACCGGGTCCACGTTGAGGGCGTTGAAGATGGCGATGGTGGCCACGGGGTCCACGGCCGAGATCAGAGAGCCGAAGGCGAAGCTACGGGAGGAAGCGAAGAAGCTGAAAATAAGCGTCTTTGTTTTTCGTGAGTGAGTCGTTCTTCGAAATCAAAAGTCCTTCACCTTTACCGACAGAGATCCATCTTTCTTCAAGAATGCATGAATATTAAGAGTATTTAGCACAGATTACGCAATGCTTTCAAACGCAATCAGTGTCTAATAGCTGCAACAAAACCAGGAAAGAATTATGGAAAAAGAAAAGCAACCACAACCAATTTCTGTCTTATTCTTCATAGAACATGTCTCGTAAATGTAAAACATGGTGTTAGCTTTATTTAACAACCCTGCAACAATTTCACAACCAATTCTTGGAAAGTTGCAAGTTGAAACTCGCACACACACACATCTCATCGCTGGTATCTTATTGTCTGGAAGGCGTTAACAGATCAAAAGTGTTTTCCTGACAGTTGAGGAGTGGAGCTTCCACCAGGACTCACCTATCGGTCATGGACATCTTGTAGATCACATCGGCCTGAGGGAGACAGACACACACACTGCACTTTATTAACAAGCCGTCGCAGGAGAACATCCAAGTTGTTCAAGAGGTACGCTGCTCACCTGACCCAGGAAGTAGATGCCCCCGCCCACGATGAAGGCCGAGATGGCCGTGCCGATCACGGCGAAGAGAGTGATGGAGCCGATGTTCTGGAAGAAGTTCCCCTGAACATACATGAACACACGGGTGTAAGTTCTCCTGGTGAACTGTGTCACCGCGTTACGCAACACAGGTGGCGCAGAACGGATCTATGAAGAACAAACACGTTAAAAGCCAATTCCCTTCAAAGCTCAGTGAGTGTGTGAGCTTACTGTAACCAACACGAGCGCTGCTTAGCTTAGCGGACGTTAGCATGCTGCGCCGTATTGTGTAAGGAGTGTGGATGAGGAGATAGAAACATGACTATTTTTCATACTTCTGTGGATTCCTTTTGAGTGAGTCACATTCATAAAAGACCCGGCCTCGTTTAAACAAACACACACACACACACACACGCACACACCTTGTGTAGAGAGTATCCAGATTCAAAGATGATGGGCGGCAGCAGCAAGAGGAAGAACATGTTGGGTCGGAACATCTCCTCCTCCTGTGCAGAGAGGGACAGAGACAAAGTCACATACAGTCCAAACAGGTAGCCGTGCTAGGCTAACAGTCCGGTGATCAACCCTCCCAACGACAACGACGCGTCGGGGCAAACAGGATGAAACGCCACGAAGCAAAATCAGATGGAAAGGTTACAAGTGAACATACGACAGATGTGTGTGACACATGGAGTGGTTCTGTGCGAGTCCGGCTGAGGCAGCGCTGCTGACGCTAATCAGCAGGATGTAGTCGCCACACCACGCAATCCCTGCAACAATATTCCCTTCGAATCTACAACCGCACATCAGGTGCTCATCAGGGGGAAGGCCCGCCCACTCATGTGTTCACACACACACAAGGACTCGTGGATACATATAGAATCTGTACATGCTTCACACACACACACACACACACACCTCTACTTCAGCCACATAATGAAATCATTCTCGGCTAAATGGGCGGGCGAAGGCATCACGTGCCGTCGCATTACATCCCAATGTGCACGCTGCGCCTGTGTGTGTGTGTGTGTGTGTGTGTGTGTGTGTTCCCGGTCAGGAATGTCAGAGGGCCCGTTGTTCACTCGTGAACATTCATGGAGGAGATCTATTTCTGTGTCGTGGGTTCGATGCTGCACTGACGGTCCACGTTTACACCCTCTGATCAACAATCTCCCTCATTGTGCGACGGGGGGGGGGAGTTTGACAGCTGGCTGGAGACCGACCCTCCACCGCCACGATGACCCCCCCCCACCAACAGAATGGCACACCCCACTCGACTTCTAATCGGCCAAAGAACGAACATTTTGAACATTAGATGTGGATCGTAGATGAATATCACGTTTGCAGTGTCCAATAACCACATTAGCTCGCTAACAGCTAACTAGCATCATTAGAAGACAGTGATCAAATCATCCTTTAACATTCAATCCCCACTGTGGCGCTGATTGTTTGTTTCATTAATTATTGTCATATATTTCTACTGCAGGAGGTGCGTTCTAAAGGTAGGAGGTAAATTAGAGGCCAGATAAGAATCCACCGAGCTGCAGACTAACTCACAGTGTTGGATCCTCTTCAACCAGATCATTTTAAAAGCGTCCGAGATTTAAAAAAACAAACAAACCGCATTGAGGATTATTAAACGTCCCGACAGTCGATTCATTCCTTCATTCTTTTTTATTTTTTTTAAAGCCGGTCATCGCGTCTGTGTCACATCTTTATAACCCCCACAAAACAGATTGAGAATCTCCCCGATCATTCATTCTATATGCATTAGAAAGTCCGGCTCTTGCAACAGGCCAGGCCCAATGGGGGGGGCTGTACAGGACAGCGAAAGCGCTCCGCTTCCGTGTACTTTCTCATATTATGCATTCAAACTTCAGGGAAAGTAGGCCAGCGAGGACACTGCCAGTTTTTCCTGTGACATTTATCTCTGCCAGACTTCCAGCCTTCGGGGCGGGGAAAAGGACAGAGATGAGAATTAACACGCGAGACACAAGAGCGTCCTCGGTGGGAGCCCGAAGCTCCGCTGCATGCAGGACGCTGCTCCTCCTCCACGTTGTCGGGTGTACATGCACGAGCAGCTCCACACATTTAAACAAGCTACCAGCAGGTAGTGCTTTGCATTGCATGTGGAGTGGGGCTCTGATGAATGTCCATGCACCCGCTGATCATCCCTTTGATTAACTGGTTAGTCACGGAGCTCTTAAAAAGGTCTGACTTCATAGCAGAGCCCCGAGATGAACGGCTGAAACCAGCAAACGTATGGAACCGTTGCTCCATTAATGAACAATGAAATTAACAAATGGTCGGTTGATTTGACTGTCAGTGTTCGTTGTTGACTAGATCTTACGTCAGAAAGCACTCGATTGGCTTCTTGAGACCACGAGGAAGACGAGAATTCAGATGGATGCACAGCAGAGAGATACAGAGGTCACGAGCAGCAAAGAGGAAATGGATCACACAGCAGAGAAGGCGAACAGAGGGGGGGCTGTTCTATATAAAATAGATAGAATGTCACACGGCGCTAAGAGGAAGAGCAGCCCCAGAAGAAGAGAAGAAGAGAAGCTCCTCTTGGAGGACTGCAGTCTGTCAGCGCCCAGGAGCGACGCAGCAGATTGTAGATGACAGGATGCTGCCGCTGCCAAGGGCCGCCTCCTTCTGAACCCTGCTGGTATTTGGGGGGGCGGACCCGGGAGGGCCCTGGATAGCGGAGGGGGGGGGACCTGCTCAAAATGGGCTAATGATTGGAATGAATAATAAAAAGAGAAGATGCGGAAACATGGAGCCGGGAGTAAGTGCTAGAAGAAGAAAAAAATCTCCCTCCCTCTCGAAAAACAAATAGGTCAGACATAATGGATTTGCATCACGGCCGGGGCCTTTTCAAGTGTCCCGCGGACCCGAGCACTTAGCATACCCTGGTCACTGCAGGAGAAGCTGCTGCACATCACGGGCACGGGGGGGGGGGGCAGGCTGAGGCCCGATTGCATGATTCAGTTGAACAATATTGTTCAGTGTTTTTTTGCACCGATTGTTCGGAGCCTTGTTCGGCACCACTGAGGCTGAGGAGGAAGCTGACAGTACCGCCCCCCCCCCCCCCAGCTTTATGGTCCGTTGACTGTAAATGGATGGAGTCATCATGGGAGGAGTCATGTACCCACGAAGCCGCCCGGTTTCTGCGCCCTAACGTAAAGCGCCCGTCAGAGATCCAGGATAAACCTCTCGCTCAGATTTAAAAACGTACCATTCATTCGTGGTTCGCGTTAAGCTAATGGTAGCACTCATTCTGTGGTTGCCAAGCAACAATAAAAATAAAAAAAAGACTCTCTCAGTGTGACGTTGCACTCTGGTACGCAGGTGCAGAACTGGAAGCAAACCCGCGTCTCGCTCTGCAGTTCCGGATTAAAAGCGGCACAAACGCCGGGAGCTTAAAGCAGCAGCGACAACGAGTCCCGAAGCCACTGAAAAAACACGGCTTCACATCCACAGGGGGGGGGGGGGTCAGGGGGGGGTCGGGGGGGGCTCCGGTTACAGTAGTGCCGATGACTCAGCAACACCCCGGGGGGCCTCCGGGATCAAAAACAATGGGCCCCAATGTGCAAGAAGCATTGACACGACCTGCCCCCCCCACCCCCCCTTCTTACTCAGAATCTACATCTCTTGTTCATTCGCTCCCTCGCTGGCAGAGAACAAGGAATGTTAATCAAAGGCTGTGAGAACCAGGACGAGAGAAGAAAAAAGCAGGAGGGCTCACAGGGCCTCTGGGGGGAGGGGGGGGCAGATTGATAGTTACTATGGGTAGGTAACAGGGTAACAGCGTGGAGATATGGAGCATTTTTCAGCATAGTTGTAGAGCCCTGAAGTCATGTGACCGTGGTGGAGTTCCTCTATGGCCTAATAAAGTCACGTGATGTGGGTTTTGAGTTAAAAACCGAACAGAAAGCGGATGCCAAAGCCTGTAGTGGTAGTAGGTGGCGTCTGCGGGACTGTGAGAGAGAGGTGTGGGCACGAGGACCAGTGAGCCCATGAGCACAGTCATACGATACCTTCCAGTTGGCCAGTTCCTGGAACTCAATGATCTTAATGAAGCCTCCCATTAGAATCCCTGGAGAGAGCAGAAGAGAGAAACAACACCTCCGTTTAAATATTTTACAAACGCGTATGAAAATTTTAACACAGCCAGAATACAGATGGAGTTTTAGCTGTTTTAGTGGTGAAAACAAATGCACCCAAAGAAGAGTTTCGACTATGCAGCCTCAGTCTGAGCGAGTCCCCGGGGGCCTTTCGGCTCCCTTGTTCCACCGGCCGGCAGAAGACTAAAGAAAAGGGCGAGGTTAACACGAAACACAGCGACGAGATGGAGAAAGAAATGAGGCATGAGCATCAGATGGACGGGCAGATGGAGAAGGAGACAACGCGGAAAGAAAGAGCAGCAGCAACAACGAGAGAGGAAGCGATGAGGAAGGAAGAACAGTCCCTCCGTATCTGCCAGCAGAGCGTTCTCTCTCTCAGAGGCTCGAGACGCCGTCTGTCCCTCAGGGTGGACAGTTAGTAGAAGGGATTCATTTCTGTTAACTTACAGAGAACTAGATGTTGAGTTCGCTGCTGGACGCCCAATGGCAAAAGTGTTTGCACCACGAGGGAGATACAAGTCAGGGGAACAGGCGCCGAGTGCATTATTTACAAGAGCTCTAAAGTGGAGTATTCTGGGAAACACCCAAATCAGTCTCAGCATTTGTACCTCTCAGGGAAAAGGTGGATTTCCTAGAAAGCTCTTTCTCATAGACTTTAGCGTCAAAACGTCGTCCTTCGGGTTATTGGGGGAAAAAAAATTAAAAAAATCACATGCTACTGTCTATTTACATCTGTAGATTTCACCCAAATTTATCAAAACTTACCGTACATATGGACTCATTTTTATATTTAAACATATTCTAGAAAACCTATAATCAAAATCTATATCCTTAATGTAGTGATGAACTGGTGACGGTTCAGGCTGACATCTACTCTTTCATTCAAAATGAGTTTGTTCTCTCACTCTCATCCAGAAGTCTCCTTCAGTAGTTCTTACATCACCAAATGTCAGCTTCTTTCCTCTCTGGATTCTGAAGGAGCCACAGACGGTTTGTTCACTTGTCATTCATTTATGGAGCAAAAAAAAAAAAAAAAAAAGAGAAAAACCAAGGTTCCCTCAGTTAAAACTTTGACTCTAATATGTAAACACAATGAACACGAATGTTGAACCCGGCTGCACCTAATGTTCAGATTTCGGGCTTTGTAAGAAAAATAAGCACATATTTGGAATTCCCAACACGGCTGTTTGGTACGCGTTTCAACGTGCGGCCGCACATTCCTGGACCCCGAGCGGCACGTTGCGTAAGACGTACTCACCGAGAGACACCACAGCCACGCTCTCTGGGAGAAAATGAAGCTTGAACTTGATAAGCAGGTGCACCAATATGATGCAGATACCTGGGGAGGGGAGAGACGGAACATTTAGGACAAATCCATCCACGTCTCAAACATCACGTCACGTGAACTCAGATCAGCCCCCAAAATAGTCCTTGAATCAAACAGTCTTTACGGTCTTTTCGCTTGACACAAACCGCTGGAGACAGAGCAGGGATGTCCACGAGAACCCGCACAGCACATGAATGCATCCACATATTATTCGGCTATGAACACATCTTCTGCAAATTAGTAAATATACGCTCGCTTCATGTAAATATGAGTAGAAAGCAGTAGCCTGACATTTTAAAATCCTACGCCAGAGACCGTACGATAAAGATAATTGCCCCCAATTAAAACATAATGTTCAGCTGTGACAGTAAGAGCCAATTTCGTACATCACTGTGCTAAATCAGTGCACACGCATATTAGCATAATTACGATGACAAACCCCAAAGGCCACAATAAAGAAAAAGGAAGCTGCAATTTAAACATGCGGCAGAAATGCGGCGCAGCAAATAAGATGAGCTTTACGACACACAGCCGGCAGAGGCCTGTCCATCCAAGCAGAAGGGAGATGATGAATTCAGACCTAATTAAAGCACATGTGTGATTTCCCGGAAGTACTATGACTAATGTGTGGTTTCTATATTGTGCGCTGCAGTGGCCCCGCGTTAATCAATCTCAGCTATTTTAGCCAAAACCCTGGAGAGATTGTATTAAAGACACCACGAGGAACCTTCAACTGCTTGTAAAGCATCCTAGCTTTAGACCTGATCCTCCGTGGACCCGTCCCAGTTTAACCCCGGATCACTTCCTATGACCTGCATCAGTAAACAGTAGCATCAGAGAGAAGATGGTCTCGTTTCTACGCGCTTATTGTAAATACTTGTCATTGGGGCCACCGCGTGGGACCGGTACAACCAGATGACATCATGCATGTTCACCAGAAGCTCAGAGAAGAGAGGCCGAGGACAACCGGGACTGAGATTAAATGCAGTTTTCTAATGGGACCCTGGTGCTCAGAGACACGACCGCTTCCTTCAACAGTGGCCTCCAAAACCGACAAATGAGCCAGAGACAAATCACTGCCACGTTCTGCTTTTTTTGCAACCTATCAAACGTTTGCTACGTCAAACCATTTAGTTCAAAATGAAGTAACATTGTAATGCGAATGAGTCTAATTGGTAACCGTATGAGAGACTTCGATGGAACAAACCCTTACAGTCCTAAAACATGTGACTTAACCTGCTGTGAAGTGAAGCACATAAAGGACACTTTGTGTCTCAAGAGGCTCTTCATCACCTGACACACACACACACACACACTGTATTAAAGCGCAGCCACATCCTTTTTATCCACTTCCCTCCTCCTAAACAGCCACACACACACACACACACACGTGATGTGACGGCTGTAGGCCATTATACTACATCACGTTGCGTGAAGCACAGCGAGGCAGCAGCAGTGAGACTACCAACCGATAACCAGCAGGCTGAAGAATATGGTCAGCCCGCTGGACTGCTCTTCTTCCTGGGCCTCGACGCCCGTCTGCACGGGCAGAATGGGCTTGGCGGTCGGGGGCGCCGGGGTGGTCGGCTTGACCACAGGTTTCGTAGAGTGAAGGGTCTCGTTGCTGGAGGCCTCGGTGCCATTGGACTTCCTGCAGGGAGTCAGGAGGAAAAGCATCCAGATGTGTGCGATCAAGAGAGACGAAGGATGGACACACCGCTGAATCATGAATATCACGTTTGTTCAGAAGCTCATCAGTTTATCCCTCCGCACTCCTCACAATATGTGATATTAATAGTAAAGTAAACATAGTGTAAACTGTCAAAACACCTGGATGTGAAGCTCGCTGACTTTAACCTCAGGAGACATAACGCCTGACCACACAGCACAGACACCTCTATGCAGCACTTTAACCCACATTGTAGGTTAACGTGGCCGAGTGTCTTTCTGAAGCTAGTTAAGTTAGCTAGCTTGCAGTGCTGGATGCCTGTTTATCACCACTAGCGCCTCTGGTGAGGCTAGCGCTAGCTAGCTAGCTGCAGCCGGGCTTAGGGACCCGTAATAGGACATTCGTCTCAACGCACCCGTCGGACTGTCCATCCTTCTTTTGGTCGACTGAACCGGGCCCGTCTCCCTTTGCGTGTCCGGTCACAGTTTGCCGCGGGTCACCCGGAGGAGCCTCGCGGTTCCCCACGTCATCGCCCTCGCTCGTTACGGACTTATTGGCGAGTAACAGCAGAAAGGAAAACAACAAAACGTTGCGGGCGATGCCTCTCATCCTCGGGAGCGGGGCATGTACGCCCTAAAAGCGGCGCATTGCGCTTAAAAAGACTGGACGTTTCATGGTCCGACGACGCCGTGTATCTGTTGACATAGCCGCTTCACTTCCGGGCTGAGAAGTGGCTGCTGGGAGATGTAGTCTTTCACGTTGCACGCGTGGAAAGAAACAGTGGGGGAACACAAAGAAGGCAGTTTGGTCCAGCTGCTGTCGAACACATGTATATGTTGTCCGTCACAGTGGGTATTATTTCACTTTTAATTCTGTAAATGAAGTGTCGATGCATCAAAGTATTGCACGTGGACGCCATTTCCCATGAGCCTTTGTACTGTCGCGTCAGTCGTCCACCTGCTGTTTCAGGCGCACGGGGTTTTTATTGTAGGCTGCACTTGCTGTTAATTACTATGAGGGGACGTTTTGGACTTAACTACTGAGACACTCTCGCACTCACTACTGAGACACACACACACACACACACACACACACACACACGCACATACATATATACTTCTGTGTCATATTCACACACATATGAAATGCATAAGGGAAACATGTATACGTATCTATCTGAAACACATATGTGCATGCACATATGAAAAGGTTGTATGCATATTGTTGAACACTTAACATTCATAACATTCTTAACATTGTTACTTGTTCGTTAGTGCACTATATGCTTAATATTTTTCTTTTTAACTTTTTAATATTTAAATTTTTTTAACTTTATTCCCTTGTTTTATACTAACCCATGGCCTTAGCCTTATTCTACTAAACCATTGCATTAGCATTTCATTCCACTTTATTTTATTACTTGTGCACTGTCTTGTCTGTCTACTGTCGCGCACTAACCGCCAAGACAAATTCCTTGTATGTTTGACATATTTTGGCTAATAAATGTCTCCTGATTCCTGATTCATAACTGAATCTTTTGCACATGATTACAAATATATAACAAGTTTAGATCCATATGCTTAAATAAGTATTAAATAAAGTAGTTTTTTTCAGATATATTTGTAGAAATTATGTATGTAAACGTTTTGCAGTTATAAGTATGTATGCTCTTACATGAGGATGTGCATGAAGTGTTTCACATGTGGACACGGGCAAAACACAACTGCCCTGCAAATCATATCATCATATAAAGCTAAACATCTAGTTTAAAATGAATGCTGGTGTCTTAATGTTGTTTAGTTCCAGGTTTGTTTTTTTGAAGTGGATGAGTTGTTGATTCAGATTTGGGGTATTATGGAGGCCGTAGTGTGACGTAGCACAACATAGTTTAATAAGAACCAGACAGTTCTGCAGAAGGGAAACTGGACATAATCTTCATATATCTGTGTTGTATGTTCAATAAAACTTTGAATCATGTTCCAAAAGAAAACTGCAGCTAAAGAGCTGACGGTGGTTAAGTAGCCACTTTAATTAGCCACAATCCAGCTGTGCAACGCGAGCCCCTCTTGAGCTAAACAGCTAGCGTTAGCTTAACGTTAACGCTCTGCCTGTCACGTCGTTACGTAGCAACTGCGGTGCGGAGCGTGACGTCGCCCCTCCCGCCCTCCCGCCCTTTCCACCCCCCCCTCCTCCTCCTCCTCCTCCGCCCACTTCCATTCACAGGACTAGCAGGCAGGCGGGCGGGCGGAGCGGCCACAGCACCCAACACCGAGTGATGGTTGCTCACTGAAGACGAACCGCCGGGTCCCGAGTAGAGCTGAATTCCGCCGCCCGTCTTTCTTTTGACACAGGACACAAACTGCTCCGCGCCCCTCCTCCTCCTCCTCCTCCTCCTCCTCCTCCTCATCTCGGGGACGGATATATTTGAATGTCTTCGTCGTCGAGCGCCGCTCCTCCTGCGCCCTCCGGCCGCCGCGGAAACACGCCGCCGACTTTCTAGTCCCCCTCGCGCCTCCTCGTCGCCCTCATCTTCATCTTCTTCTTCTTCATCATCTTCATCAGCAGCAGCGCTTTGCCGCAGGAGCCCGGGAGAGCGGACCGCGCGCTCCGGCACCTGGACACGTCTCGCCCGGCCGGGTTCGGAAGATTACGGGAAAGCGGCCCCCCAACCCCCCCCGGCCCTCCCCCCTCCTCACCCTCACCACACCCACCACCCGGCGTGCGTGCGAGTGTGTTTCGGGGGGTTCTTCCGCCGCCTGTATAATGCCGACACATCTGCGGCTCCGGAGAAGGTCATTCCTCGGGCTCCTGTTCCTCTTTTCGCTGTCCACCTCCGCGCTGTATTTCATCTACTCCGCCCCGGGAATCGGTGAGTGAGCCGCGAACTGATGACTGTGGAAAAGCAGAATGTCAGGGATGTTGTTGGTGAGGTCACGTGTGAGGGAGGGGGGGGGGGGGGGGGTCGATGATGATGAGACTCCTGCTGCTGGATGCTGGAGCTCAATCCCATAATATCCACGTACCTGCGCGTGGTTAATGCTAGTGCTGCTGATGACGTCAGCGGGCCCCCCCCCCCAGCCAGCTATGATTAGAACCCGTCGACCGGGGCAGGAAAACACGCGTTCGGTGCTGGCATCAACCTTGGGTGGGGGTGGGGGTGGGGGGGGGAGAAAGGTCACGTCGCAGGGCCCGAGGGTCGTGTTCTATTTTGGAGGTGGACCTGAACTCGGAGGTGACTAAACGACCTCCCTGTGACATCACCGGCTCATTGACGGATGCGTCTCACCTGATCGCCCGTGTCTCTTTCTGAGCGTGCGTCACCACCTTCAGTATCCGTACTCTTTATAGGTAGGGGGGGGCATTCACTCTGGCCTATTGTAAAAGTCCGGACTTTCACCCGGGTCCGGCCCGGACCGATCCCCCCCCCCCCCCCCCCCTGATAGGACGTCCTGTTGTGCTTGCTGAGCAGGCGTGTGTTGGCGAGGTTGGGCCTCCCCTTCCCCCCGAGACGCGTTATCTCACATTCATCTCAGAGCTGCCCACCAAGAGATAACGTTCCAACGCAATGCAGACGGAGCAGTTTGACAACACGTGGATGATGTTGATTTCAACGCGTAACACAGAGGAAACCATTTGTGGTCGGGTAACAAAACTACTTAGCTAGGCATTGTGAGGGGAAAAAAAAGGTGGTTTGGCTTAAAGTCACAATGAAATAGAAACAAAAGCAAGGAAAGATGTGTGGTAAGGTTTCAGGAACGCTGCATTATTACAAAGAGGAGGTTATTTGTGTTTAAGTAATCCACGACTACAAACATTTCCACTCAAAAAACCTGATTCACAGTTATTGTTTTGTCTGTATTACATTAGTCACGAGGATACAAACTCAAAAGAACAAGAAACAAGAAAGTGCAATCTCATCAAATAAGCCGATTTGTACAACGTGCTATAGATAAGAGACCTAATAAGTACAAGTGCTACAGTGTGTTTGGTGTTTTTAGTCGCGGTGTCGACTGAAGTTGTGTGTAGTTTACACGAGAACGTCAATAGTCTGAACAACATTAACTCTCTGCAGCTACGCGTCACCGGCAAACACCACAGCGCGGCCGTTACTGGGAGGGGGGGGGGCTTCACAAGAAAAATAATGTTCACGTCATACAAAGTGCAGCATTTTTTATTTTTTTTTTAAAGCTCCAAAGAGCGAGCCGCTCGCACTTATTCATCGAAATGGGTATTGATCCATTCACGCTTTCCGCCCGGCCGCTGTGGACGACTTGGTCGATAACTGGATCCATTCTGGCGGGAAGAGGCAGACAAAGATTCCTCTAAACGTGAAACAAATACACGCAGTCAATCCCTGAGTGAAATAATCAAAGGCTTGTTTGGTATTTTAGGTTCTGATGGTGTCTGGTGACCCCCCCCCCCCCCCTCTCCTCCTGGGCTTCCACTGTTGGAGGGCTGTAAATGGCCACGTGGTCTTGCTGCTGGTGGGGGGGGCAGCACCAGTCCATTAATTATAGATGGTAACCAGGAGCTTCTGCTGCAGCTACTAAAAGCTGTAGTTTAGTCCATATACGCAAAGGGAATAGCTGCGTTTTGTCCTGTGGGTGGGGGGGGGCATCGACGAGGCATCGGCTGAGCTTTCACATCCGGTCAAAGATGCACCAAAGTGCGCCGCCGCCCTTCGGATCCCAGAGGGCCTGTTAACCAAAGTTGTAGTCTTAGCATCTGACGTAATGCGCCCCCTCCCCCCAACAGGATGCTTCATCTGTCACACATCCTCAATTTGTCAAAGAAAGTCGTCCCTGAGTCACCGGATCTGTGTTGTGGGTGAACGGTGGGTACTGAGTTGGTGTGATTCCATTTGTAACCTATTTGATTGCAGTTACCAAAGTGTTCTTTACTCGTCGATCATTGGTTAATTTAAAGGTTCAGCGAGTTGGACGTTGTCCGTCTCTGATCACGCCAGCTGCTTGGCACTTTCCATCCGTGGACAGGAAGCGACCACAGAGACACTGGCCGGATTTGAATTGTCAGATGTTCTCAGGCAGTGAAGTGGTGTAAGTGGCCGCCATGATAATGGCTGTTTGACTTAATGCAAAGGAAAGGAGCTTCTGTGCTTCCTTACTCGGCTCCTTTAGCACAGGAACCACTCGACCATCCTTTTCGAAAGGAAAGGAGATGATTCCACCCCACAGTGCCTTGCGGTGGCAATATTTGACTAATGACGTATCATTCGGCCGTTTGCGACAAACAACGGTCAGTCAGGTGAGTAACCGTTGGTTAACTCATTATAGGGCAGCCTTGTTAACAGAGTGATACTTTGGACCTGGTTGTTTGTGTCGTCTGCATGACTCAACACATGAAGGCATCTGAGATGCTTCTTTGTTGTCCATCTTCAGAGAAATTGGAGTTTGACCGTTCAAATCCAGCCACTGTATATGTCTCTGATGGAGACCTGTCAATCACACTAAGCCCCGCCCTGAAGCATTTCCCCTTTACGCTTTGTTTTATTCTAAATGAACCGTAACAGAACTCTGAACTCTGTCAAATGTATTTCTTGTTTTTAGCTTCACGGCGCGGTTGTGGGACATGCCATCTGGATATTATCATGCACCAGGGCCGTCCTTTGGTTCCACTTTCATTGCTGTTCCACATAGCAGAGCTAAACCGAAATAAACATTTATTTATCAGGTTTTTCTGTTAAGGCTCATTTCTGCTGTAATACTTTCAATTTATTCAGAGGTGCGTGTTATTCTTTTAATTTGCGGCCCTTTATTCTCTCCATCCATTTGTCACTTTGAAGGTGCCGAATTAATAAATCTTGATTGACCTCTCGCTGCATTTCACCATGAGTACCTTGCTGGTCAGCACCGTTGTAGCTCTCCTTATTGCTGTGTTGTCCTGGAGCAGCGGGGGGGGGGGGGGGGGGGACCTTTTCCTTTGGGGGTTTGCCCCTTGGGGAACCCCTCCCCAACACCCGGAGAGGGGTTCCCGCCCCAATTTCTCTCTCCTTCTGTCTTCTGAGGGTTTTCTGTGAGCATTGGCACCAACACCCCCGGCTTTTAAATTTTCAGCCCCCCCCCCCCCCCCAGGAGAAAGCCAAAAACCGGGGCGGGGATAGCAGCACACCCGGGGCCTCTTTCCTCAACATTTTTTTCTTATTACCCCCCGAAGACTCCCCCAAAGGAGAAGTCGGGGAAAACACGCCGTTTTTCTTTTGGAGTTTGAACACAGATGCACACACACACATCCGAGGTGAGGGAGGTAGACGAGAAGCCAGGTGCTTCCCAGGACTCATCCTCCCATCTGAATGTGGTTGTGTGTGTGTGTGTGTGTGTGTGTTATTGGACGTCCCGTGTACGTGTAGTGTGCACCAGATCAGCCTGTAGGTGCCCGTCAAGTCGCCCCACAGGGTAAAGTGTGGCGAGCAGACACACACTCTGCTATCGTCACACAGTTCGCTTTACGCGCTTGATGTCTGTGGCAACCTTGCGTCACCTCCATGACTTGTCTCTGTTTGTAACGCGCGCACACACACACACACACACACGGCCACGCCTCCTCCACCCGTCGTCTGCAAGCTGCCTGTAAGTGGTGACACCCAAAGCTTTGGAAACGAAAACGCTCTTCTTCCCGGCTCTCACAGTCCCCGGAAAAAACCAAATCGCAGGTGTGTTGAGGTTGATCTGCTTAGGCAGCAGGTACTAACTAGAGAGTAAAAGAACCACACGGACGCAGGGACAGGAGGCCAATGTGTACGCGTCACTTCGTTTGTGGTGGTAACCACTTCTGCCTTCTGGCAGTCCGACAGCTCCAGTGTGTGTCGTGTGTTTTCACACTTTCTGGACGGTGTTCAGAAGTTGTGTTGAAGTATTGGTCGCAGGAAATAAGCTCTGTAGTAAACGAGCATTGTTCATCGAGATGAAGTCAAATGAACGGCCGTTCAAATTCACCTTTTTCTGTATTGTAAGATCAGATGATACGTCTGTGCAGTTCGTGACAGCGCGGGCTCCACGGTAACGTGGGCTCGGAGGGGGGCGGGGCTTAGCCGAGGGTTACTTGGACATTGAACGCTGTCTCCCTTTTCCTACCGTGCTGTGAGCGCTTCCCTGGTACCAACAAGCCCTGCGCCTTGCTCGCCCTGTCATGGCGGATGTGCAATCACAAGCCAGTTCCGTGCCTACCCTCCCTGCTACTGGGCATGCTGGTGCATCAACAGCGTTGTCCGCTGGTCACACCCTCCCCGCTTTTGTCTGCACATATGCAAGTGTTTGTCTATTTGTGTGTGTGTGGAGGCTTCCTGGAGAGTCGGCTTTCAAACACAACCTGTGGCCGCCTTTCCCCACATTTGAATCCTGATTTGGATGAAAGCCGGCGCTTTTAAAAGGCACGGAGGAATTGAAGGAGCTTGTAAAGATCAGACCGATTATGTTTGTTGGTGTGCAGTTTGCCGCCTGCAGTAGAAGTAAAGAGAAAGTCGGCGTGCGGCTGGCTTCAGCCTTGTCGCAGCGTTGTTTAGATGTTAAGCGGCCAACTCCAACGAGCAAATAATTACCTTCTGGGGAGGGGGGAGGAAACGGTGGTTGACCTGCTGCACATAAATGTTGTGTTTAGCATGTTGGACGGTGTCGCTAAGTGCATCTGATAAATGAATCACATTTTTATCTTGAATCATTTACACCATTCGTTAAATTAAAAACCAAGCCAAACCCCAGCGGTGGTTTGGCGGCGTTCACACTGCGAGCGACAGCAAGATGACACCAAGCTACGAACTGCTGTTGCTGTTCACCCTTGGAATGGGAACAGTGCATAAGTATTATATAAGAGCATAGACATCAGCACGTATGGCCATGCTGCAGGCTGTAATGC